CTTGTGTTCAGCAGTGTATTTTGATAGGCTGTAATGATTACGATGATGTTTGAAATTATATTGATTAGTGACATCTACCTTCATTATGTATTAGAATTAGGTATATGTTTGTTATACTAATTATTAGAGCAATATTTTCCAACGCATTCCGATAATTTTTGAAATAAATTTAATTCCTAGTGGTATCCTACCAGCGGTTTAGCCAACATTATATTCTAACATCGCTATAGTTCATAAAAGATAGCTTGATCTCTGCGACAGCTGTCAGTAACAATCACGCCTATGAAGTCCTGAATTTCTTAGTAGTTATTTTTATACTAGTTATTTTGCACTAATTAGGTCGGCATGCCCATAAAGTATGACATTGACAGGTACTGTCTGTACTACTAAGAAATTCAGGACTTCATAGGCGTGATTTTACTGACAGCTGTCGAGATCAAGCTATATTTTATGAACTATAGAGAAAAATATAAAAATAAATGAAATCAACCCTAAATCGCGTGACTGTCACGAGACTCAACGTTCATAAAATGTCGGTAACGATCGTAGTCACAGTCTAACTTAGTAAACTTAGGCTCTGGTAGATGCATATTGGCCAACACCGCTGATGTAAAATCGCAATATTTAAATTTGTATTTAAAATACCCGGCCCGGTGTTGGAAACAGGATTAGGAAACTTCGTTAACGTATTTTTAATAATACTAATGTGCGCCTAATGGCCGAAATCCCACCGTAATTCATAAAATTTTTAGGTTACATAACATTGGAACATTTCATTGAAACCACCCATTGCATACGATTGACTCGAAACTTAAGTACGCTTTAAATAAAGAAAAGAGTACGTATTTTGCGATTCTTCAAAACATACGTCGATAAGGATATGCCAGAGGACGTTCAAATTTGTTTCCAGAAAAAATAAATGTTTTTTTTTTTATTTAAAATCTGTTTCTAATACTCTTGACTTAAAACAATAAAATATCATTTTTTATTTTTTAAACATAGTGAGCGCATAGATTGGTCTAATACGAAATTTCGTCCGAATGGTTAGAGCAGTTTCCGAAAATCCGAAATTACATACATACGAGAATTGCTTACACGCCTTGCCCGTTAATTCGTACAATTATTTAAGGGACATTTTTCGCTTAGCTTATATCAGTCCTATCATACCCTAACATATATCATTTACTGAAATAACGTTAATTATTACACTATTTTACGTAGGCCATGGATTCGCACGGAACTTTCGCATCGTCGCTATTTGGTTGGGATAAAATATTATGATATATATACCTACGTCAGTTCTGTTCAAATTACAGTTACAGTTGATTATGATAACCTCACGTCACGAATTTAAGAATGACATTGTACCTATTTAATATTCAGGTATATTTTAATGTTGTAGTCAACGGGTGTGGTTTGATATTTTTAACATAATGAAAGGATGTCACGCAACTGAAATCACGAAGACCTTACTTTTAATTTTTATGCAAATCAAAAAGCTTGTTTTGCATGCTTAGTCTTATTTTTTTGGAGTTGTTAAAGTTGACTGTAGAAAGATTATAGCCTCTGACTCTGATATCTCATATATCTAATTTATATTTAGTAGAGCTTTGCTGCACCTATATTATAGATTATAGTAGCACCCATGGGTCGGCTCAACCAGGAAAGGACCACGCTCTCACAGAACACCAGCGTAAAGTAGCAGCTTATTGCTGCTGTGTTTTGTGTGACGGTTGTAGAGAACCGGAGACCCTTTTTACTGGAAACGAAGCATTCCATCTTGGTCCTCAGGGGTGACAACGCATCTGAATTTTGATTCTTAATCGAGGATAGATGTAGATGTCGTTATATCCACTTAGGTGGTAAGCTATACACGATTAGGTGGATTTTGTGCTTGTTTGTATTCCCAAAGAAATGTGCACATCTGATATAAAATACCTACACACGCCGTTTACCTCGCGGCCTTGCGAGCCAGCTGAGTCAGATGAAGATGTAAAAGTCGTTTGGCTGATATATGAAGTCTTCGCGTTGCAATTTCTTCGCATCTTATCCATTTATGGAGAGACTGAACGGAAGATGTTAAATTATTGTGAAATCAATTTAGACTTTAAATTCCAAAAGTTCAACGATATACTCGTGCTACTTATTAAACCAGAGTAATTTGTTCTTTAAAAACTGCGGAGCGTACAAAACATAATGAAAAATAAACCCTAGCAGCTAGGAACGATCGCAAACATCTGTTATGCGAGCATTCTATTACAGCCTTGAAATGTCGGGTTTTCGTCTAAGTATTGTTTTTGGCTTTTACTATACAAGTCATATTGAAAAAAGCATGAGCAGTCGTAACGTTTTTCATTTCCTTCCCTTGGCCTTAATTTAGTCTATTGTCTGGAAATACCAATTCTGGTTTTAATAACGAAATGTCTGAGATTTTTCACAAGGTTATTAGTGAAAGACCTCAGACCTTTCTTTAAAAAAAAGGTATAGCTTAAAGAAAAAGTTATACTCGTAGCTTAGACTTGTTGCTTGTTTTCCCAATTCACATTTTTAACAATCTCAAACTAAATTAGATATTTCTGAAAGGATTTTTATGTACCTTTAATTTTTTTTTAAATACTATAACTGCTAAAATAAATCAATGGTATACTTTGTAAATATTATCAGGGGTTTCTCTACACTTAATAATAGAACTAGACTAGACTTCTCCTAGACTAGACGATACTATTTGGTAATAATCCTTTTCCCGTACCTATTTCTGCGGCCAAATAGCGGTGCCTGTACCGCTGGGATCAGGTCTGAAGAGTAGAGAAAGCTAGAAAAATTACAGGATGTTAGTAGAAAAAGCTATAAAAATTACAGGTTGTTAGTAGAGAAAGCTAGAAAAATTACAGGATGTTAGTAGAGAAAGCTAGAAAAAATTATAGGATGTTAGTAGAGAAAGCTACAAAAATTACAGGATGTTAGTAGAGAAAGCTAGAAAAATTACAGGATGTTAGTAGAGAAAGCTAGAAAAAATTATAGGGTGTTAGTAGAGAAAGCTACAAAAATTACAGGATGTTAGTAGAGAAAGCTAGAAAAATTATAGGATGTTAGGCATATTATCGTAGCCTTCAGAGATGACAGCGCATCTAAGTAGTCTTCTTTGTTTGAAGTCGGTCACAAATGTGTTCATGTGCGACCCAAGTCACTTACCGTTTGGTGGAGTGTCTTTCTTGGTCACTTCAATTTATAAAAAAATATTTTTTTATAGGATAGGGTGACAAACGAGCACACAGTCCATCTGATGGTAAGTGGTTGCTGCGGCCCATAGACATCTACATCTATCTTCCATTACAAATCAAAATGCAGATGCGTTGTCACCCGTGAGGACTGATATGGAATGCCTCATTTCCAGTAAAAAGGGTCTCCGGTTCTCTACACTCACCATACGAAATACAGCAGCATTAAGCTACTATTTCACGCTGGTATTCTGTGAGAGCGTGGTCCTTCCCCGGTCGAGCCGACCCATTCGTGCTACAACTAATATAATTGCAGCATGGCTCTACCACGTAAAATATGTTATTATATGCTACTTTTGTGTTACGGCTATATCTTTCTTACTAATATTAAGTAACTACGCGTAACTACTAGGCAACGAATATTTAATTGCAGTGCTATAAAAAATAATTTATGAATTTGACGTTATAAATACGTGGTAACATCAAAAACCGTGAAGTGTTGCCGTAAAAATATTCATTACCCTCTATCGTCCCGTGGATGTCGTAAAAGGCGACGGAGGGAAACTAATGAGATAACTAACAGGGTCTGCCTAAAGTAAAAAAAGTAAAATTACAGCCTATATACGTGCTACTGCTGGGCACAGGCCTCCCCTCGTTTCTGAGAGGGTTTTAGGGTAGGGAAGTGTTCGCCGCGCTGCCCCAATGCGTGTTGGCGGACTTCACGTGTCATCGAAATATTTTTTTCTTATTCCTCAGACATGCAGGTTTACTCATGACGTTTCCCTTCACCGCCGAGCACGTGGTAAATCAGCACTTAAAATTGTAATTAGCAATTTCATTGGTGCCGGCGGGGATCGAACCCGGGTTACTCGCGTTCTGTTATATTTACAGCGAGCGTTAACCATCTGAGATATCACGGCTCTTCCTTATAACATTTAAATAATAAAAACTTCGTCTATCAAGCGCGACAACTATGCCCAATACCTTCCCTGTGAGGTAATCTATAGGGGAGGCCTTTTATCAGCGGTGGACTTTTATAGGCCATAACGGTAACTTTGCCACAACCATTACTTTGACTATTTCTATCGGGTTAGTTGTTAATTTAAAGTAAAATAAAATATTCTTTTACTAAAAAAATATCTCTCGTCAACCACTTCAACTAAGCTTAAATAAAAACTAAGATTAAATGTTTGAGCTTAAGAATTGTTAATTTGTGTTACAGTACGTTTGCACTGAGAAAAATCCAACACGTAATGTTTTGAAACGAATCGCATAAAATAAATCACACAACATGTTTTGTTGATGGTGGCGTTCGCACTCACAAAAACTGAGTAAAATTTTCAACAGATATTCAAACTTATCTTTCGACATGACAGTATTTCTACAAACTTGTTTTCAAACATTTTGTTTCTGTAGTTATAAATATTTAATATAATTAAAATATGTAATGTACAATAAACTGTCAAACATATTTCATTACAACATGTTCTTTGACTATGCAAACACTTTGATACATTAACAGAAAACTGTTTTATTTTTTGTGAAAATCGCGTCAGTGCAAACTCACGATTAACGATAGTCGATTCACGAATTCAAGCCCATCACTTTAATTTTGCAGTTACCATCCAAACCCTTAACTAGACTCGTTTCCTCAGAATGAGAATCAGCAATTAGCACTATTTGGGTGTCTTAAGGTGACATAGTAGTAGTTGACTACTTGCTGAAACTGATTTAAAAAGGCAAGCAACAGGCTTTCTAAACATATCTTATCTTTTACAGAAAATGGACAACGAACAACCTCATCAGGAGTTGGTGAAGTGTGTGGTAGTAGGAGACACTGCAGTGGGCAAGACACGGTTAATTTGTGCACGCGCGTGCAATAAACATGTCTCACTTTCACAGCTTATGACCACGCACGTGCCGACGGTGTGGGCCATTGACCAATATAGGATTTATAAAGATGTAAGTATGATCAATGTAACTCCAACAGTACAGTATAGTGCTAAACGTACTTTTACGTGGTAAAGCCATGCTGTAGCTACCTATGTTAGTAGTATAGTTGTAGCAATAGATCGGCTCCACCGCGGAAGGATCCCGCTCTCACAGAATACCAGCGTAAAATAGCAGCTTAATACTGCTGTGTTTCGTATGCTGAGTGTAGAGAACCAGAGACCCTTTTTACTGGAAACGGGGCATTCCATCTTAATCCTCAGAAGTGACAACTAATATTCATTTCATTTCTTAATCGAGGTTAAATGTAGGTGTCTATGGGCCACAGCATTCACTTATCATTAGGTGGACTGTGTGCTCGTTTGTCAAAATCTCCCTTCTTTTCAGTGGCCAAACTGGGCAGAAGTCTTAGTTGCTATTTTAACATGTTGATGTAATAACGTTGTATTTAACCTTATTCTATAAAAAAATAAGTAATACCAGTTAGTATATTCTTATAAAAGCATACAGTAATAGATTAAGAAAGATTTATAAGGAATTTTTGAGTGGCAAAGAATATAATTAAAGGTTCGGATATATTTCATGTCATTATCACCGTAGCTGGATTGTAAACAGTCGTTGTGTTAGTAGAGTCTCATAATCATAACATCCCATGTCCGCTACTGAACACAGGCATCATCTGCAGATTAAAAAAAGTTAAAGTTACAGCCTATGTACGTCCCACTGCTGGACACAGGTCTCCTCTCATTTTTGAGAGGGTTTTACTGCAAGGAAGTGTCCGCTGCGCTGCTCCAATGCGAGGCGAACCATGTCTACGAAATATGTTTTCTTATTTCTCAGACATGCAGGTGTCCTCACGATTACGTTCACCGCCGAGCACGTGGTAAATCAGCATTTAAAATTGTAATTAACAATTTCATTGGTGTCAACGATGATAGAACCCGGATTGCTCGCGTACTGTGAAATTTACAGCGAGTGCTAACCATCTGAGCTACCACAGATTATACAGAGCATAATATCAGCACTCGACATGTTTTGCCTAGCATTCAAGTGACGGGTTGCGGTACATTACGCTGGTCGGTACGGGCCTACCACTTAAGTGGAAATATAACCTCAAATGGCTTAGCAAGATCCTCCATTATGCCGAAAATATTGCAGAATTAATTTTGAAATAAATATATGGTAAAGTTGAGGATGAATGTTAAGTACTATGTTAGCCGAGTTGTTTCCTGCCGCCCGGTTCCAAGCTTCAGGACGCTGATAGTTTAGGTAATTTCTTTTTACAATGAAAATAATGGTAATTTACAAATTTAAAAACATAAGCCCTGCTAGTTAGTTCAGTTAGTATGCAAAGTTCCATGTTCTTATTTAAATTATTTTATGAATAACAGCGGTTTATTGTTCAGTTTGGAGGTAACTTTGAATTTTTTTTCTATCTAGAAAATTTTACGGAATCATGTTTTCGCCTAACATAGTACTTAACATTAATCCTGAACTTAACCATTTATTTATTTCAAAATTAATGCTGCATTTCAATGTTTTCGGTATAACGGAGGATCTTGCTAAGCCATTTGAGATTATATTTCCCCTTAAGAATGTTTTTTCTTCATCAATTGTCGATTCTTCGAACTATTTGTCACTTAGCTGACTGCAACTTGCACGTGCAATGATCCCGCCCCGTGATCCATATTATGTATTTTAGTTTATACTTAATGTAGCATATGTTCCCCCAGTTCATTATATTTATGAACCGGTTGTTTAATATAAAAATTCCTTTTTAATTTCAACTATTTGAATATCTTGTATTTCGCTGCAAAGTACATTGCAATTAATGGCGTTTGCGTTGCACGAATGAAGACATAACTCGATATAAAATTTGATAGTAAAAGATCAGGCGTTGTCCTGAACTATTGCGAAAGATCTAGTAATATCTAGATTCAGTGCTAGTGCAATCAGCACCATCTTGACCAAAATAGTGTTACCATGTTATAAGTTTATTATAAATGAACTGTTTTTTTTTCTAAATTCACCAAAAATATAAAATGGCTTTGTCTAAATTAATCTCAAAAAAGTTAAAATTGTGATTGTACATTAAGAAAAATTAATCAATATGAATTTAGGGTTGTTAACATTTTTTAGATTTTGATATTTACTTTTCTTTTAATTCCTTCTTTTTTTTAAGGTCGATGTTTGACTATTGGGTAATGGACATTATTATTACTACGATTAAGATAACCATTAGTTTTAAGCGAATTTGAGAGTTTCATCCCACTTGATGGAGTGATGACTTGGTAAGACATGCAGAAATTCGATGTATGCAGGTGGCTCAGGACTATACTTTGCGCCATTACTTGGAGGTGGTCCATGCTTAGCAGTGGAGTTGTGAATGGCTGTAATGATGATGATAATCTTACTCACTTTAATAAAAAAAGGACTAACACTATAGCTTAAATACGAGATCATCGATAAAGCACATTTTTTTTTTAAATTATATGGCGACAGACTAGCCTTTGTCAAAGGCTAAGCAATTGTGTACATTCCAATATTAGTCAATAATAAGCTTGTCACGTCGCTCCATCGAGTCCGACGAACATATTATAGCAGTGGCAAAATATGACGGTAAAGTTCACTCCGATCAAACAAAGTAATAGAATTGATTGATACATAGCATGAAGTCACAATGGGGTTGTTCGGCTTGGTGTAAGATATTATGTATGAAAAGTGTTTACATTGCACGATACTGAGTTGAGACTTTTTGGAAAAATTGTGAGAAAAATTGGTAAGTGGTTATGGAACAATCACTTTCAACATGCACACAAGATGTTTAAAACTATTTTTATTGAAATTATTTATTCTTTTTTTTCTATTTTTATTATAAGTAACTAACACTCTATCTTTGAGGTTATATATAAGCAAAATGTACAATTACTATACATTGTTATTTTGCAATATATGTCCAATTTGCAGAGAAGGTTCGGAATAACTAATATAGGCGAGTGGTGAAGAAAATTTTATTAAAAAAATTCAAACATTCTGTGTGTTCATTCATTCATGTTTTAAATTCAGAACGCGTAATAATGCATTATTTCAACTAATTTTCGTTTATAAATATCTAATACTATTTTACTACGCACGCAAACATTCCTAAGGGTCGCTCGGTGGGCAAAATAGTTGTGAATTGAAACGCAAACAGTGCGGGTATTGTTGCCCATAAATCACATTTAATTTAGGATAATTTCAAATAAAAGTACAAGCCTTATTTACTCGTATTTTCAAAAACTATCATAACGGTATATCATTATTTATATATTTGATCTTAAATATAAAATTTGGATACTCTGATAAATAACCCTCTATACCTTATCATTGTAATTGCAGCATACTCGTTTCAAATTGTAATTTTTAATTACCTAGTATTTTATTTTACAATATTTTTACTATTATTTTATTTTTTTGTATAGTTTTGTATATTAGATATCATTATATATTATATTTATATATATATATATATATATTTATTTTTATTTTTACAGTTCATTAGTTACTAAAAAATGATCTTTTATAATTAAAAAAAAATTGACTACTTGTACATAACTATCTATATTACATTAATATATAACATGCGGTGTATAACCTATATATAGATATATATATATTTATATATATATATATATATATATATATATATATATATATATATATATATATATATACATAGACAGTAACTGCAAGGCCAACATTATTACAAAGAAATAGAATATCACATAATGCTTACAGTTTTTTTTCTACCTACAGGTCCTAGAAAGATCTTGGGAAGTTGTCGACGGAGTAAACGTATCGCTTAGGTTGTGGGATACCTTCGGCGACCATGAAAAGGACAGAAGATTTGCATATGGAAGGTAATTTTCCAACGAATGACAATATTTTTTCACATTTGTATAGCTATGTTAGCTATGCTACACTACAGCTATGTAACACTAACGGGGAGAGGAGCATGCTTTAATTAAAATTGAAGTGACAAACGAGCTTAAAGTCCACTTGATGGTAAGTAGCTACTGCAGGTCATGAATACCTGCAGTCATCTCCAAAAAAAGCTACGGATAAATAATAATAATAAAATTTATTTCAGCAAATAGACTTAGTTTACAGACATTAGTGGCCGAATTCTCCTTTTAAGCAATAAACGGATGTGTTGTAACTTCTGAGAACTAAGATGTCGTCATTTGCCATTTAAAATACAGTATTCTTATACTTTCAATATGTATTAGGACTTCTCTTCTCCCTTGGAGTCCGTCAGGATTGGTACCACTTACCTATTTCTGCAGACATAAAGCAGTGCTTTCGACCGGAACACAACAAACTATTCCTATATATATATATATAAAGGTATATTTTTTACAAAATAAGTGAGACAAACGAGCACGCAGTCCATCCGATGGTAATGGATGTCTACATTCCTCGTTTAAGAATCAATATGCAGATGCGTTGTCACCTGTGAGGACTAAAATGGAATGTTCCGTGTCCAGTATAAGGTTCTCTACACTCACCATACGAAACACATTAAGCTGCTATTTTACGCTAGTATTTTGTGAGAGCCTGGTCCTACCCCGGTCGAGCCGACCCATTCGTGCTACAACCATAATATAGCGGTAGCAAGGCTCTATACCACATGAAAAAGTGTATGTCGTGTTTTTGTGAAAAATTATAAAATTTCTCTAACAAGTATAAAATAGAATCACAAGCCAGTGTGGTATTTTATTTTCTCCTCAGAGATGACAACAATAGATTATCGTGTCTAAAACTCACTGCAGCCATTTACCATTAGGTAGCCTGTATGTTACCTTTGTCACTCCTACTTACTTATTATTATAAAAGTTACTTCCTTATTATATTCCTATCTTAAAATTAAGGATGTAAGATCAATTAATCGATCAATAAAATCGATATTTTAATGGATCTCAAACAATGGGTCGATCGTGTGAAATAATTTTCAAAAATCAAAGATCTACTTTTTTTCCACTTCGATATGATTACAACCGTTACAAATACATATTTACAATTTAGTTGAACTCACCACAAAGATCGTTTTATTTTGTGGTTAGCGACGATGAGCATGGTTATGTTAGGCAATAAGTTAACGTTTGTTAAAGTTTTATCAATTCAATTGCAATAAGATAAGTTAAAGTTTTATCGCATCTACCACGTGGAGTGCTCTGAGGAATTGTTTGGACTAATTCCAGCTGCATAATTTCACCATCGCACATCGCGACAAAACTCGCGATACAATCCATACCATCCATACCATCTGGATGACTGGCGGTCCACCACCGTGCGATTTAAAAGAAGTTTTCTTCCTCGCACAACTTCCTTGTGGAATCGACAACCACCAGAGATTTTCCGGGCCGATACGACTTAGGGACCTTCAAGAAAAGAGTCTACTCCTTTTTAAAAGCCGGCAACGCATCTGCAATTCCTCTGGTGTTGCAGTTGTTAATGGGCGACGGTAATCACTTTCCATCAGTTGTGCCGTATGCTCGTTTGCCTCCTCTTCTATAAAATAAAGCACCGTACATAGGTATTACAAAACTTTAAGTAATATGTGTGTGTGTGCGTGTGCTCATTTTCTCATCATCACCATCGAGACAGTGGCGAAGCTTCCATTAAAGCCGAAAAGCCGGGCTTGCCTTATTAAACCTGAATCAATCAATAATATCAACTAATAAAATAACTCGTGAAATGTTTCAAGCTTTTTCAAATTTCCCGCGCACTCCACTGTTCGACACATGTCGACCGATGACCTCGTATTGCCTTACGGCGCCTCTACACGTTGGCCAACAAAGTGGCGAATGTAGTGGCCAATAGTAGGGGTGTTTGGGCTTCATTGGTATCTATTGGAACGATGGCCCGCAAGTTGGCGCGAGATCCGTGTGGTGTCGGTTTTTTACAAAAGATCAAAGGATTGTTGGCAGAGTTTGGTCGCCGCGTTCACACGTTGGCCGCGAGTTTAGTTTGCTACAAGCTCCCAGAGTGATTACACGCATCTGATTAAAATTTTTTATTCACGCTTTGTAGGGTGGATGACCCAATTACCAGCCTTTTTAGTGCCAATTTCAACTTTAAACATTCCTACTACTTTAATTAGCGCGATCTAATTATTTTTAAACATTTGTTTTAATTGATAAGCTATTTATAAAAAAAAATAACATTTATTTACAGTCAGATTATTACGAAAACAATTTTAAAATGAAAAAAAATGAAGCACGTCGTTTATACGTGGTAGAACCATGCAGTTATATTAGAAGTATAGTTGTAGCACGAATGGGTCGGTTCGACCGGGGAAGAACCACGCTCTCACAGAATATCAATGTAAAATAGTAGCTTAATGATGCTGTGTTTCGTATAGTGAGTGTAGAGAACCAGAGACACTTTTTAAAGAAAACGAGGCATTTCATCTTAGCCCTCACGGGTAACAACGCATCTGCATTTTGATTCGTAATCGAGGATAGATGTAGATGTCTGTGGGTCACAGCAACCACTTACCATCAGGTGAACTGTGTGCTCATCTGTCACCCTATCCTATATAAAAACGTCAATTTCTTATAATTTAATCGTGCAAGTTTTCGAATCATCATCATCATTACAGCTCTTCACAAGTCCACTACTGAACATCCTCCTCCACAGACTGCCGCAAAGCATGGTCCTGAGCCACTTTCCTTGTCATGAGTTTTTCATTTATGTTCTAATTTATAATTAGTACCTATTATTAAGTCAGTGTTAATTATATTTATTGCTATTGTTTTTGTCTTTCTCAAAAAATAATTAAATTACCAAATAAATTATAAGGCGTTTTTTATATACATCAAATGTCTGATAGAAAATCAAGTACATGTTTTGCTAAACTTTAAAAACAAAACCCAATTTTAAAACATAGACTAATCGATTATAACTCCTTTAACTTTAAAATAAGTTAAGTTCTAATTAATGGTATTTATTCCAGTTTCTGATGCATGTAAAGAATAAATAAAGCTAATCGTATATCGTATATCTATTTACAGCCCCATTAATATTCACTATTCTTTTATAATTATTTTATAAAAACGTTACCCCCCACACTTGGATTTTCTCCTGTATCGCGGAGGCAACTTACAAACATAAATTGCACAAGGACACACATCCAGACCCGAAACAATTATTTGTAGGATATACAAATACTTGTTCCGTGCGGGATTCAAACCCGCGGACCCCGGCACAGCTACTCATTGCTAAGGCACTGCGCCACGGAGCCGTCGTTCGTCCGTACATTGGCTCGAACCGAAGTAAACTGAACGACCTTCCAATGTGTGGACGCCGTCACCAACTCTCGGCCAATATATTCGCCACTACATTCGCCACTGTATTGGCCAACGTGTAGAGGCGACATTAGCGATACTGCTGCTGTCATAAAAAATTAGTTTTAATAGTGCTAACAGTTGTCTCCCTCGCTCGCGTGAGCTTTTTACGGGGCTTTCGAGAAGACGATCGCTCTCTTTCTAACCTATGGCAAAATATTCTATAATGAAATATAACTACGATTGTATATATAGCAATCTAGTATAGAGATATACAATTAATACAATATAGCAATTAGTATAGAGGATGCGATTTAAAGCCAGGCTTTTGGGAATAAAGGAGACAATCAATTTTTGTATGGAGAATGGGCCCACCACAAATTTTCGCGTCACGCAATGAAATGGATGTCGATTTATTCCTTATAATTTATAGTTTACAAAAGTAATATTAGTTTTACCACATCTAGACGGAAAATCGAGAAATTGACAATTAAAATATGAATTTTAAAATAACCTATAAATAAACTAAAAGCTATTTATAGTGGTTTTTACCGGTATTTTAAGTTAAAATAGTGCACTGTTGAATAATAGTTCATATAAAACCAAGTTGTAGGTACATTCAGCATTTTCAGGTACTTCAATATTTTTAGTAGTTACGGCAAAATATAGTGCCTGTCTGTGTACAAATGTGGTATGGATACAATTTTTTACATATATTGATTGTGAGTGTACTTCCCAATTACCGTTAAAATAATATGAATAAATTCAAGATGACTAAGGTATAATATATCCATTTATATTTACAATATTACCAACACACGTTATATAGTAAGAAAGATGTTTTAAACTGACTGTGTAAAAAACAAGTTATAATGCAACCGTATTTATAGATGGTAAATCATCATTTCCAACATAGTCTATATAATTCAGACATATAATTCAGATCTATTTATGCAGACAGACAGACAGGCCCGGTGTCAAGACTTTTTTTAATATGCTTTGGTTGATTATTAAATACCTAATTATACATCTTAAAATGACTGGGTTCTAAAATACCAAAATGACTAGGTAATATCATGCTTATCTGTTATTACACACTGATAAATTGTGAGGAAGTAAGATGTTTTGAACTGTTTGTGCCAGGATAACAAACACACAGGTATAGTTTAATTGTATTTATTATTAGCGATCCGCCCCGACTTCGCACAGGTGATTTCTGGATTTCGACAACAGCGCCACCTACCGAGTCCATATGTGAATATGAATCATATAGAGACCCGTTCAAACACACATAAACATATCATCAAAATCGCTTGGATGGTTTCTAACGGACATAGGTAGAAACATTTTTCGTGTTTTCATATCAAAAGATCATATTAAAAGATTTTTTTCAAAATAACTTGATGGTAACATTTCTATTTATGATACGATATTGATATGTAATAAGTCCCAAAGATCATGTATAATCACTGCATTAATTATGGTTAAAATCGTCAGTGTTTTATGAGTCCTCTTTTAAAAATAACACAGCAGACAGGTGCAGTGCCGGCCCTTTGTTCATTAAAGTATTC